TGTAATTTCACTTATTTTATTTGTACATCTTCAATGAACAGTGCTGATCAGTATGGGAGCCGATTCATTCAACAGAAACTTGAGACTGCAATGACAGAAGAGAAGAACATGGTTTTTGATGAAATTATGCCCCAAGCCCTATCACTAATGACTGATGTTTTTGGTAACTATGTGATTCAGAAGGTATTTTCTCATCAGAAGAACTTGAATTCTTATGATGTACTTATCATGCCTTTGATTCTACTGTGACCTTTAGTGCTTATCATGTGCTTAAGTCTTTTCACACACCCTCACCTACTCTAAAGAAAGCGAAAAAGAAAAGAAAAGAAATGAGTTACATATAAAAACTTTCCTGTTTGTCTTCAGTTTTTTGAGCATGGATCTGCATCCCAAATAAGAGAACTGGCTGACCAGCTAACTGGCCATGTGCTGACCCTTAGCCTTCAAATGTATGGCTGTCGTGTGATCCAAAAGGTATGCTTCCTCAATGACCATGCTTATGGAACCTGTGCTATTTCTAAAGGTGTCTTGTATATTCTGAAGATAGTTTCTTCTATAATCTGCTGTTGTGCCTTATGCCTGCATAATTCTGTTTTTATCATAAGCTAGGCTGAAGACGTGGCCAAATCACTTTTCCTGGCATCTTACTGAAGCCCTTGCTTTGCTATTACTTGCAAACTAATGTTTGACTAAATGTAGAATGATGTGTTAGACTTGGTTAAAACCTAGCCTCTTAGTTTTAATGCTCATTGATCATTATAACCAGGCTATAGAAGTAGTTGAACTGGACCAGCAGACTAAAATGGTGACAGAGCTTGATGGTCATATTATGCGATGTGTACGGGATCAGAATGGGAACCATGTCATTCAGAAGTGTATTGAATGTGTACCTGAAGATGCTATACAGTTTATTGTCTCAACATTTTATGATCAAGTTGTGACACTTTCCACTCATCCATATGGTTGCCGTGTGATACAGGTGTGTAAACTCTGTTTTTACCTGTCACAAACATCTTTGTATGTTTGTCTATATTATTACATAGATTTGATTTGAATTTTATGTGACAGAGAGTGCTGGAGCACTGCCAAGACACCAAAACCCAGCGTATAATGATGGATGAGATTTTGCAATCTGTTTGCATGTTGGCACAAGACCAATATGGAAATTATGTTGTCCAGGTTTGTTGTACATATGTGAATGCTTCTTAAAGTATATGCATTTATTTAACATGGATGGCAATCCAGGGGCAGTTTGTGGGGTCATGTATGTAATTTTATGTTTTGAACATGTTTGGCAAGCAATTGCCAGTGCCAAAGAAGTGCCAATTTCTGACCTGTTGGTCATAGCCCCAGCTCCCACATAGAAGAATCCCTCTTTATTGCATTTTCTGCTTGTTGAGAACTTTAATTCTGATAAACTATTCTTTGATTGGCAAGTTGGTACCCGCCCTTAATTGTACAATTGATCAATGCTAGATAGCAACTTGTGTATAGTTCCATGCAGCACATTATGTTTGATCCCTTTACTGTTGTGGACTCAAAGATGTTCAGTTGATAATAAAACAACCAACTGTCATAATATTTGTGGAAACTTCTCGTGTTTGTATCTGTTAAATGAGCATAATGAACACATCCTTCTTTACCTGATTAATTTGGGGATTTCTAATCAATGACATCATTTGTGAAGTTCATCATGAAGTTTAATTGCCGCCAAAGCATTTGGCTGTTATTCACTGCTAACACCTTTGTATTTCCCTTCTTACAGACACGATTCATGTCCATCAAATCTGTTCTGCAGATTATTATGATAACTGCAATCTCCCTCCCTCTTTCTCTCTAAACACATATTTGGTTTCGTTTTATTTTTAAACATATTTGCTCTAATTGCTTTCAAATAATGTTGCAGCATGTGCTGGAGCACGGGAAACCACATGAGCGTTCAGCAATAATAAAGAAATTAACTGGGCAGATAGTTCAAATGAGCCAGCAGAAGTTTGCCTCCAATGTTATAGAGAAATGTTTAACTTTTGGCACTCCTGCAGAACGCCAGGCCCTGGTGGATGAGATGCTTGGCACCACTGATGAAAATGAGCCTCTTCAGGTCTATGACTTGTCTGTGTGCTGTACCCCTCATAACTAAGATGCTGATAAGCATTTAAAGTTTCTGCGTATTTATTGGCTTATTACCACATTGCATTCTCTCACATCTTTGCCTTGGTTATTGCTATTTTTTTTTTTTTAATTAGCTAATGGTTAGGTTCATTCTCTATAGTTAAAGTTTTAATTGGTGGACTGTGGCAAACTCTTCTGTTTAGCTGATATAATGTGAATCTGTGTGACTTTATTTGGTAATTTGCTTGAATGGGCAATTCTTCGGAGTCATTGATTCCCTGTTTTGACATCATTTCTTGTTATTCCCGCTTCAATGTCTCCGGAGTCATTGTTTCCCTGTTTTGACATCATTTCTTGTTATATGCAGGCCATGATGAAAGATCAATTTGCAAATTATGTTGTACAGAAAGTGCTGGAAACTTGTGATGACCAGCAACTTGAACTGATCCTCAATCGAATAAAAGTTCACTTAAATGCTCTGAAGAAGTATACTTATGGGAAACATATAGTTGCACGTGTAGAGAAACTTGTTGCAGCTGGAGGTAAGCATACTCCCTTTTGCTGCTGATTATATCTGGTTCTCTTGTAACTGATTTGCACAAAAGGAAGAACATCCCTAAATGCTGCAAGCCTTCGGTTCATTGATTTTTGTCCACTATTTGTTTAGTACTCGTTTTTTGATGTTTGATTAAAGACACTCTATTTGTTTAGTACTCTCGTTTTTTGATGTTTGATTAAAGACACGAGTGCTTGGATGAACATTTTGTGGTGTTTCATGAGCAAGATGAGCAGGAAGATTAATGATGTTTCATGTCATGTTTTGTTATTTCTGTAGCAAGTGAAAACATTATTCTATTTAGTATTTTATTGCTTGAAACATGCAGGTAAAATATTAAGATTTTTGAGGGCTGCCAAAGCAAGCTTTTCCCAGACAAGTGCCTGGATTCCATATGCATGTCTCATACACTAATTTAGGAAAGCTTTTGATAGTAATGCATTTTCTTACTCTAGATTGAAGAGAAAAATGCATGCAAAATATCTTTAAATGATCTTCCATATTCAGTTTTATTCTCCTTTTCTTTTTCAATGACATGAAGGACTAATGATACCTAGTATTCTGTCTTTCCTATTGGGGATGCTACATATTAAGATTTTCAGGTGTGGAAGATTAATGATCCATGTTAAATTGCATTGCTTGTGCAGAAATGGCTCTTACAAGTTCTCTGCCTTTTGTTTTGTTTTTTTGCAGAGAGGAGAATTAGCTTCCTTACTCTGCATCCTGCTGCTGCTTAGAAGGCTAGGGTTGTACAGCTAACTGAGGATAGTATTGAGCACCTCTCTCTTTGTACTTCTTTTCATATCTAGTAAGGGCTCTGTCTACTAGTTGAATAGATTGGAGCTGAATGAAAAATAAAAACTGTCGGTTGGACTGAAAACTGTACATTTTTAGTTTGAGGATATAGCTAGAATCAGGATAGCTGAGTTCAGATGGTGAACATGCCGAAGTTCTTGCAGAGAAGATAAAGAATTACTGTACAAGTTTTAAGGGTGTAAAAAGGGAGGTAGTTAATTTATGATCGTGACTGTACAAAATGTTACCAGGCGGAAACAGCTTTTGTGTTTAGGAGGGTATGGAATTTTCCTGATGTATGGGATTTGCTTATCTTTCTTATTTAAAAAACTTTTACTCCCACTTACAATGGTTGTCTGCTTGCCTGGTACAGGAATGGATTTCATTATGTGGGTATATCATGATTTGTCTAAAATTTTATGGTGCCCCTTGAATCATGTCACTAATTGGGTTCAAGAAATATATCATATCCCAGTTGACAATTTCAATTTTATTAGTATTCGGAAGTTTTCTTGGGCGTTGCTGCTTCGCTCGGCTGTCGTCAGTTCTATAGACCAGACCAAAAGAGTGCGTTGAACTCTCCTTTCGGGCGCTCCAAAAGTGTGCGTTGAACTCTCCTTTCGGGCGCTCCCATGAAAATGTGATTGTAAAGAAACGCTTTTCACTCAAAAATCTGTTCTGTTAGGATTTTTCTCTTCATATGCCAAACCCAAACCGTTCGGTCCCCCTTAAAAGCTACTGTTCGGTCTACCTTAAAAGCTGATTAGATAATCAGCTACGTCAACGGCGAAGCTAGAAAACAGAGCTTTTGGAAATGGGTTTCTGAGTGTCATTGAGATGCTTAAAATATTTTCAATAAACATCTACATCCATGGCAATACAGCTACACCAGCAGCGGTAGTCACAGCCAACATTTGTGCAACATGGACACAGATTTAGGCATCCGGTTTCCTAAAATTATTGAAACCCCTTGCAATTCTCTGTATGGGGGGATAAACGAGGCCGAACGAGTAGGAGCTCATAGATATGAACGAGCTGAGCAAAAATCAAAACCAAAAAAAAAAAAAGAGAAGAAAAACCAGCTTTTCTATATAGTAGAAAGCTCATGTATCCTGTTGCTGGCTTGTAATCCACTCAGTGCTATCTTAGATCATCTCCAATGACAAAAATCATTTAGAAAGGCTAAATTGTTGATATGGCTTTTTAAATAGTGTAAATTTATATATATATAATATGCACCCAATGGAAAAAAAACCATTTTAGCAACCCAATTGTATTTTAATATATTTAATATTAATACTTTTGGTTTTTTGAAAAAAGTTATTGAGAAAAATTTAATTGATGAGAAAAGAAATCTTTAAATAATATATTTTAATGTTTTAGCTATTTTGATAGATGCACAGGAATGCTTTTTCTATGATAACCTTCGATTCTCCCATTAGAACTGCAAAATCATAGAAGGAATAGTGTTTTTATTTTTGGCTTTTCTATAGAAGATGCACTTGCTGTGCTAAAATAGAAACACATGGCAATAAGTTCAGTTGCTTTCTCTCTCGACTTTGAGAAGTTCGGTGTTGGCTTTTCCATCCATTTTCTTTGACAAAGTATGTCTAAGGTAGTCAACATACTTAATCGCTTTATACATTTTAGGGCGATTATAATCATCCGCCATTGTCTCAACTGGACCTAGTTCCGCGTCATCATCCGGAATTACAAATGTTGCAATGGACATTCTTGCCGCTGTCACACTCGTCACCGCCCTGTGCTCAATGCTTTTGTATACTCCATTGCTCCAACTCTGGAAAATATAAGAATAGAATCAGACTTGCAGACTACTTTTCGCAACACTAGAAATGCCTTGCCAAATTCTTACCATAACTTTTTTAGTCTTTTTATGCAACAAAAAATCTTGAAGCATTGCTCCTTGTGAATTTCAATAAAATCTTTATCATTCTTGGAAGGAAAAAACAGGAAACATATTTTTAATGTTGTCCTCGCAACCGAACTGAAGAGTATGATTTTGAACTAGAAAATACCTCAATAACATCACCAATATTCACTACTATGGCATTTGGAATTGGTTTCACAGGAACCCATCCTTCCTCGTGCCTTGTCTGGAGACCAGTGATATCATCATCCTGGAGAAGAAAGGTTATGGAGCTCGCATCAGAATGCGGACCAACTCCAAGCACAAGTTCAGGCCTCGAGCAGGTTGGATAATAGTTCATTCGTATTCCTTGCTTCATCATCTCCCCATGCAACCGTTTTAGAGCATCTTTGTCCATTCCCATTAACAATGATATGTTGGCAAAGATGTCCTCAGTCAGCTTAAGAATTTCTGCTGAGTACTGTTCGACTGCCTCCCTAAAAATTAAAGAGAGAACCACAGAGGAAAAAGGTTTGACTTGTTTTTAAACAATAGAGAAATACCTAATATGTTACATAAGCTGTATAGTTATGTCATCTCCTATTGGAAAAGCGCTGAAGTACATACTTGAAACCTGGTATCGTAACCGGCCAGTATTTCATTTTCTTGTATTTTGGGGGTGATGTCACCAGGAACATCAAGTCACACCAGTCGAGTTTTTGATGCTCAGAAACTACATAGCCTTGGCCATATCCATGAATATCATTAGCCGCCATTGCATAATTTCTTTTCTCTTCCAATGGAAATTCAAAAAATGCTGCCACAGCGGCCTTCATTTGCTTTATCACCTCTTCTGACACATCATGATTTGTTATCTACAAAAGAAAAATAAAAAGCATTCTCAGCTGTGCTCTAGCACAAACAAAATTCCAGGCAAAATCTCGTTGATTTGTACCTGAAAGAAACCCCACTCCTTGCAGGCAAGATCTAGCTTCCTCCGTTCATCCTCGTCTCCATTGACTAGCAAGGAGAAATTTATGACTGGTATCTCGGATGAACCTGTACAAATTTCAGTTTCTACTGGTCTGTCTCTGTGTTCCTGTATGTATCTTTCAGGGACACACTGAGAATCTTTTCTCACTATTTCTTGGACACTCGGTACCGGCAATGATTTTCCCCAACCCAACACCTTATCTCCCTGCATGTCTCCATTTTCAACATTTGGATCCATTTCTATTCGTTAAATCTTGTTCCCTAAGTTCAGGTATATATATATATATATATATCGACATTTGGATCCATTTCTATTAGTTAAATCTTGTTCCCTAAGTTCAGGTACACACACACACACACACACACACACACATATATATATATGCCCAAGCTGGTACGTAGCAGACTTGCTTCTTTTAAACTAAAGGACAAAAAGGAATCTATTGCTTCCGCTTCTTTATAGATCCCCTTAAAGAAATTATTGGAGCTTTGCACCTTGTTTGACTAACCAAATTTCAATGTTTAGTGTAGAGAGATATTCTCCAAGTGTTAGGCGGTGACAACAACATGGTTTATTGAAGAGCCAATGTTGCTTAGTTCTTGTTTCACACACCTGTTTTCGCTATAATATATTATGATAGCAATTCTATCTAGCTGGGAATAATGAATATAGTGCAAGAACTGGTAAAAATGTTGTCTTGGCGTGTCACGATTCATCGATAGTTCGATCTCAAGTATCTTTCTACGAGTCCCTTTCCATCAATTTTGTATGATTATTTTTTTCTGGAGTCTGCCAAACACAAGATCGTAATTGTTTCTTGTAATGTAACCATCATTTTCCCCTTTCAATAGTCTTCAATGTTACTCATAATCAATTTGAAGGAGGGTTTGTATGAAAATTTTATATGCGTACCGTTACTTCTTTTATATAAAAGATTTGGAGTTTTCAAATATCGTTAATTTTCACTGCATATCATTGTCAACCTCTCGAGACAGTGTTCGCTTTTCCATCCATCCATCAATTTTCTTATACAGAATATCTAAGGTACTTGATCCTTAGCACGTTAGAGGGCGATTGCAGACATCCACCATTGTAGCATTCAGTGTCGCTTTTCCGGTTCCATTACTTCTTGTTTGATTTCCAAACTTGATAGATTCTTGATTTCGGTGCTGATGGGTTGCGACGGCATGGTAGCTTGAAGGGTCATCGTTGTTTGGTTCTTTTTCCGCAGTACTCTGTTATGGCTTTGTTTTACACTGAGGTAATTGTTATAGTTGTGGTTTGAAAAAAATTATTTTTAATTTAAGTTAAATTTAAAAAAATATATATTTACTTAAAATTGAAATTAAATAAAAAATAATTTAATATATTTGATTAAAATTACTTTTTAAATTAAAGTTATAAAATAACTAAATATATATATATATATATATTAATATTAATAATTTTTAATTAAAATATTATAATTTAATATTTTTTGTCTTGCACAAACCAACCTAGTTATAATATTAACTGAGTCTTGATTGACTTATAGGTACAATATAAATTTAATAATTATGAGATATTAAAGATGTTCAAATTTAAGATATCGTTATAGTTTATTGAATTAAATATCATCTGCTTCATTAACATGTGACTTTTGTTTTTCGGTCACCAAAACCAAACGTGCACAAGAGGCTTGACATGATCATTTGTTAGTTTTTGTTACAAGTTAGCAATACCCTATTATTTGCTATTTGTTTTCATGAATATATAATTTGATTTGTACGATATTTTTACAAAAATATCTTTTAATTAAAAGCATGCCAAGATTATGTTTACTTAAGTCTTTTTTTAATATGAATACAATAAAATTATAAAAAATAACATATAAAAAATAATTTATACTTCTTTTAAACAAAAAACCAATTTAAAAAACATGCTAATAAGCAATTTATTACCGCGTAGTTAGTGACATAAAAATGGCTTCATACATTAGAAATCCTTGTCTCCGAGGGCCTTTTTTAAGAACATTGGAACTTAATTTGAATTTATTTTTCTTTTGAAAGATTACATATTGAAAGTTCATGTTTAGGTAAAAATGATCAGCAAACAAAATAGATCCTATAGTTGAACATAGTTAATGGTTTATTATAAACCCAAGCTCGCAGTTAAAAATAATTAACCTTTTTTACAAGAATCCACCAACTTAGCCATGACCATGTAAGAAGATCCTCCGTCACTCTTTGCCACCACCGCATCTTCTCTAGTTTCAGAGCTCTTTCTTGAACAGCTTCGCCTTTCTTCGAGTTCATCAGTTCAATCACATGCTCCTCTAGCTCGGCCGCATTGACAAATTGAGTCCTCATCTACTCTCCACTATTCACTTTGCAGAACAGTGGAGAGCAGCTAAATGCAACAGAAGAAGAAAAAGGGGAAGGGGAAGAGCGGGCTATCCTAGGTGGTGGCGATGTCTGGCCGGCGGTGGAAACGACGGAGACCGGTGGTGAACTGATGGTCCAATGCTCTTTACTGTTCATTTTCACTGCTAACTTTTTTCCCCCTCTGTTTCTGCTATTCTTCTTACACGTCTCTGGTTACTGTATTGTAACACAGTTTGCAACAAAACAGCTTGAAGTTGCTTTAACAAATTTTGCAGTTCAAACACAAATGATGATGGGTCCCACAAACTTTAAATTATGGTTATATCTTAACTAAATATATATAAATAGCTTTTTTATATAAACACAGTTGCAGCGCCAAAAATGCTTCCTTGTTTGAGTGAGTAACGGAGGAACTGGTACAAAAAACTGTCTTGAAGTCAAATCACTTCTTCGACAGTTCATAAGTATCCTTCCAGGAAATCATAGAAGGTCACTTTCTGTCAACATCACACACAAATATATAATTAATGCAGTTACTGGATTTCAAGAGGACAGAAAATCATGACGGAAATTAGACGGAACCGATTCCTTTCTTTTTTGCCTCTTATCGCATCACTTGTATTTCAAACAATCGATGCCTAGGAAAATTAGAATTCTGTTGTTTTTTTCTTTCTAAATCACATAAAATTTTGCTTTTCAAGCTCGCATAAAATGTGTTGTTTGAGTGTGTTGACTGTTGAGGAATTTTCATGGAATGCAGGCAATGCCCCCTTTCGGGCAAATTATATAGGGATTAAATTTCCTAATTTTTCTGTTCGTGTGGCTAAAATTGTTGAAATCCTGTACAATTCTTGGTACCGGATAAGCCTGGGCCTAAATGCCAACGATTTTATAAGTAACGTAATTGGCATCCACTTTCCCTTTTCTTTGGATCAAATGTCACAGAGCATGAATCTCTTTCTCGTAACAAGATCAAACTTAAGGCCTAAATAGCAACAGCTGGTCACAGAAAAAAAGAAACCCAATAAGTTCAGTTTATTTTTGAATCACAGAATACTCCTGTGTATTCTGCTGCTGACATGGAGTTCATCTCTTAGCTCTCATTATCCCAAGTAGAAAGAAGCGGTAGCGGCAATTCAAATGCTTTCGTTTCCGACTTTGAGAAGCTCGGTGTTGGCTTTTCCGTCCATTTTCTTTGAAAAAGTATATCTGAGGTAATCGCCATACTTGATGCTTTTGTACATCACGGGGCGATTATAATCATCCACCATTGTCTCCACTGGACCTAGTTCCACGTCGTCGTCCGGGATCACAAATGTTGCAACGGACATTCTTGCCGCCGTCACATTCGTCACCGCTCTGTGCTCAATGCTTTTGTATACTCCATTGCTCCAACCCTGGAAAATACAAGAATAAAATCAAACTTACACAATGAGCTATCGAATTTCTTTTTTTCAAACTTGCACAGGAGCCAAGCATGGGCTGCACCTTGGTGATCTTTTAATTCTAAACTACTCAATTTAGGGTTTCTAGTCTCCTTGTTAATAAAAGAGGCAGAGAGGAGTGCTTTCTGCAACACTAGAAAGTAAAGGTGAAAAACATCCAAAATCATCAGAGACTAACTTGATGCAGATAACAGAGATTTCAGCCAAAATCTTACGTGATTCGCTTCCGGCATCACCTATTCGAAACTTGTTTAGCGATGTCTCCACTTGTAATGGGAGCAAATTAAGGCACAAAAGCATGGAGCATTACCATCACATTCAAAAATATCCGGCAAAGATTTTTTCCGGGTAACAACCTGATTCATTCCTCGTTCCTTTCTTCCTATTCCTAATATACATGTGTTGTAGACTAACTTGATGTCTTTGCTTTTTGTAAATTAATTTCAATAAAATTCAAATAATTGTTTGAAAATTAAAAATAGAAAACCAACTGATAAGTATGGTTATAAATTATAAAATACCTCAATAACATCACCGATATTTGCCACTATAGCATTTGGAATTGGTTTCACAGGAACCCATCCTTCCCTGTGCCTTATCTGGAGACCAGTGATATCATCATCCTGGAGAAGTAAGGTTATGGTGCTTGTATCAGAATGTGGACTAACACCAAGCACAAGATCAGGCCTCGAGCAGGTTGGATAGTAGTTCATTCGAATTGCTTGCTTCATGATCTTCCCATGCAACCGTTTTAAAGCATCTTTATCCATTCCCATTAACAAAGAGATGTTGGCAAAGATCTCCTCAGCCAGCTTAAGTGTTTCTGTTGTGTACTCTTCTACTGCCTCTCTATAACATAAACAGACGATAAGAATTGGACAGAAAATTAAATATATGATATGGTGCGCATACACACGCATTCTGTGGCAATCACTGAGAATACATACTTGAATCCTGGTATTGCAACCGGCCAGTATTTCATTTTCTTGTATTCGGGCGGGAGTGTCATCAAGACCATTATGTCACACCAATCGAGTTTTTGATGCTCAGAGACTACATAGACTTGGCCATATCCTTGAATATCATCCGCTGCCATTGCGTACTTGCTTTTCTCTTCCAGTGGAAGTTCATAAAATGCTGCCACAGCAGCTTTCATTTTCTTCAGCACCTTTTCTGGTACACCATGGTTTGTTATCTACAAAAGAAAATAAAATTGCACTCTAGTTCTGCTATTGTAGCACAAAACAAAATTTCCAGGAACATGCATGCAGTGGCATTAATTTGTTTTTACCTGAAAGAAACCCCACTCCTTGCATGCAGTATCTAGCTTTCTCCGTTCATCTTCGTCTCCATTGATTAGCAAGGAGAAGTTTATGATTGGAATTTCAGAGGTAGTTGGAGATAAATTAGTAGCTACTGCCCTGTCTTTGTGTTCTTGAATGTATCTTTCAGAGAGAAATTCATGATCTTTTCTCACCATTTCTTGGACGCTGGGCACTGGCAAAGATTTTCCCCAAGTCGGCACCTCATCTCCCTGCATTGCTCCATTTTCGACTTTTGGATCCATTTCTATTTGCTAAATGTTTTTCCCGAGGCTGATCAGATATATAATATTTCTGCAAGTTGATAAAAAGATTTGCTTCTTTTAAACTAAAAAAGGAATCCATTGCGTCCACTTCTTCATAGATTCCCTCAAAGAAATTATTGGAGTTTTGCTTCTTGTTTGACAATTTCCAAATTAAAGTTTTTTTTTTTAAAAAAACAGATTCTTGATTTTGGTACTGTAAAAAAAAAAAAAACAGATTCTTGATTTTGGTACTGTTAGGTGGTGACAACATGGTAGCTTGTAGAGCCACTGTGGTTTAGTTTTTGTTGCACAGGCTGCTTTGGCTATGTTATTATGACAGCCTTCCTGGTATGAATAAATAATGATGCAACTAGTAAAAAGACTGTCTTGATGTGAAATCAATTCCTCGACAGTGCTTAAACATCATATCAGGAGATCATATAATTTTTATATATTAAATTTCTTAGCCCCTGGATTTCAAGAGGCCTCTTAATCATTTATCCTCGGGAAATTACTTATTCAGATGATTATTAACTCAGCGCCACTAAAGCATTAACCCTCTAGGAAAGTCTAAATCGATGATACAAAGAATATTTTAACCAGTTTTCACATCCAGTGAGATCTTAAGTAAGTTATCCATATTTAAATTGATGAATTTACAAGGACGTCTTACCCTTCTTTTTACCAAAAAATAAAAATAAAAAAATGAAACGAAATCCATGCTTGTTTCATAGGGGCTGCAACCATCTACACATCCTTATGGCATTCAGAAGACAAAGATAAAGGAACTGGATTCTCCATTCCCCTCTTCAAAAAAATGGTGTCAGTGTGGCACGATTTGTGGTCATTTTGATGGCATAATTTGGCTGTATGGAATCCATCAACCAGAGAATACATGTCGGTGCCATCTACTGATGATTCTGTTCAGCACTCTTCCTCGGAAACTTTGGGGTTTGGTTATAATTCTTTCACTGATGAATACAAGTTGTAAGATTGAAAGAATAAATCTTCCAGTCGCATGAAAAGTTACAACTTTCCAGCTCGCTTTGATGCCAGCTTTTACTGGGAACGAAAGAACCAGGATGGAAAAACCATTGTTCTTTTGATTTAGCAACAGAGAGGTTTAGTGAGGTAACAACGCCTGATAAGTTCTGGTTACGAGAAATATGGTCAGGGGTTGTAGGAGAGTGGCGTGTTGCTACTACACGCCGCGGTTCAATAGCAATTTCAATGCGTGGACAGTGACAAAAAATGGAGAATATTATATCAGATGGTTTACCTACAAATATGAAATTATGAGGCCGATTATGTACATTATAGCATCACAGAAACTGGGTTTCTTGAATTTGACGAAGATGAAAATTTTACAAGCAGATTCGGTGCATCATGGGACAAATTTCATGCGGGGTATGAGATGAAAGTTTTCAATGAATCTGAAGCTCGAAATTATTGGTGCCTCTTAAGTATAGCGATCAATTTTACCATCCAATTTCTTTAGCATTTGATAACGATTTCGCACAACTGTTTCGGATATCTTTGTCTTTACATTCTTCAGTTGAAAAAAGTTTGCGTTGTTCCTCCTACCCTTAATAAGCACACATTCTGGAAACCGCATTGTCGTTAAGTTGTGTGTTCTCTCCTATGTGTTGTAGTCTCCATATCTGTTTAGATTTTATTCTTTGTTCGAAATTCATGAAGTTCGACTTTGTTGTATCTTATTGATCCAAAACCACTTGCATAAAATTCACTCGTTCGTGGAAATTAAACGACATCTATAATAGCACGTAAAATGAAGAACATCCTTATAAGCACAGCGGCAGAGGAAATAGAGAGAGGACATCGAAATTAAATCAGTAGATCAGTCCCCATCAAGTGAAATCCACACCGTGTTTTCTCGTTAAGCTAGCTTATAATTGCCATACATAACTAGAAATCAAGCAAGTGTGAAAAATAAAAAGAAGAGGGCTGAAGATAACATGTCAATCAATGCTTCTCGTCCTCTGGATTCCTGAGCTTAAATCACCATCAATTAGGAGGACAAAAGGTAACAACATACCGAGAAGCCTTACAAGTCTTAAGCCCTGAAGCATCATCAAAGGCAAAGCTATAGGCCTTGGGACAAATTGCCTTAAAAAGATGACTAAAAACAGTAGGCTTGCAACTCTTAGGATTTGCATACTCCCCAGTACAACAATATCTATCAGTTTTTGCAGCCAAGCATGCACTCTTGCAACCCACCACCTTCCCCTGTCGCTTCACAACCAATGTAGAAGGGCAACAGATATTCAGATCCGTCTCACAAGCGGCAATTCCACACCCTGCACCACCACCAACAGGCATCATGGAAACTGGAACATTAAATCCATCAACCAAACTCACATCATAGTAATGCAAGGCGGATTCTGAAGTTCCAAGTGTCATTTCCACTAAAGTTGCTGGAGGGACACCACCAACGCCTCTACACTGTAAAAGGCCGGCACAGTCTCCGGTCTGGCATGAACCTCTGCCAGTGGTTTCATCAAAACAGCAACCTTGTCTTGGCCAAATTCTTCCTGACCACTTGTCAGGGACTTGGAGGACTGTTTGTTCTCCGCTGAGTAGAAGGAAGCCGCCTTCTCTAGGGGTGACATGCCCTGCAGTGCCAAGGATCCCAGGCCATATGCTGTCCTTGCAGTTGTTTGCTATAATGAGTTCAGTCCCATCTGCAATTAGAAAAAGAAGAGGGAAAAAAAAAAGGAACAGATGTCAGTTCTTTAATGCAGAAGTTGTAAGGAACCAGTAACCACATAGAGTTTAGATTTTGGTTGTGCAAGAGAGAAAAAAACCTGTGATGGAAAGGGAGATGATCATGCAGAGGAAGAAGAGAAGAAACTGATGAGAAGAAGTCGACATTTGTTCTTGAATTTTTGGTGATTTTGGGACCTGTTGGTTTTATGGCATATTTGTACACGAGAGGGGAGGTGGGGGTTGGATTTCCTTACGTTCTGCCACCACGAAAGGATTTTGACTGGTTAAACAACGGCTTTGTGCAAAAACGGTTTACTGTAAATCATATGACAACTGTTGATTTTCTTGCAATGCTTTATTTTTGTTTTTTCAACATTTACTGCTGAATTTAAGAATTTTTTGTTTTTGTTTTGAGAATATAGTTATGAACTTGATTTTTTTTTATTTATGTTGGGTTTTTGAGTCAGTTTGCGTGTATTACGACTAATCCCCACGGTCCACTGAATACCTTGCAAACCTAGTAGGCATGTAAGGCACCACGGGGTGACAGGCATGCACGCCAGGGCTCGAATCCAGATGTAGTAGAAGGGGACCGCTAGACCAATCACTGCAATACAGTTATGAACTGGATTTTTTTTTTTAGATTAACGTGGGTGTCCGGGCCAGCTTGCGCGCACCACAACTAATCCCACGGGCCTTGAAGTTAACGACCATGTAAACTTTCAGTGGTCATCATATGAGCAACTAAAAACTCGAACCGAACCTAAGACCACAGAGGGAGCAAACCGGCTGTTTTTTTAAATTTGAAATTATATTAAAATAATATATATATTTTTATTTTTACAATTAACTTATAAAAATAATATAAAAACATAAAAAATTACCTAGATGGTTAATTATGAACTGGATTTTTTTTTTTTTTAGATTAACGTGGGTGTCCGGGCCAGCTTGCACACACCATGACTAATCCCACAGGCCCTGAAGTTAACGACCATGTAAGTCTTCAGTGGCCATCATATGAGCAACCAAGAACTCGAACCTGAGACCACAAAGAAAGCAAAACCTTTAATTCCAAGTCTTTATCACTTAACCACCACCTAAATGGTTAATTATGAACTGAATTTACTTGGCTAAGTGATGGTATTTCTTATTCGAAAGCTCCACACATAATAAAAGATTGGATAGTGGTTATCTTCATTAATTTTTCAAACTAGTGTAGCTGTAATTCAAAAGCAGAAATCACGCCTCTTCACCTTTCCACGCCCCCTTCAGCGTGAGATTCCGTCCTTCGGGTCCAATAATTGATTAAAAAATTAGATGTTATCGGTGTTTGCATTCATGTAATCGATAAAGATAAAGGTAACGTTTGAATGAATGACTGTTTTTAAAAATTTGAAATTATATTAAAATATATATTTAAAATAATATATATGTTTTTTATTTTTACAATTAACATATCAAAATAATACAAAAACATAGAAGAATATAAAAAAACATTTCAACAGTATTTTTTCAGCAAAAACATACACGATGAAAGTCTCCGTGAGAGGACTTCCAACAAATTAGTGGATTATGAGATGGATTCCCACAGGCCCTGAAGTTAACGACCATGTAAGTCTTCAGTGGCCATCATATGAGCAACCAAGAACTCGAACCTGAGACCACAAAGAAAGCAAAACCTTTAATTCCAAGTCTTTATCACTTAACCACCACCTAAATGGTTAATTATGAACTGAATTTACTTGGCTAAGTGATGGTATTTCTTATTCGAAAGCTCCACACATAATAAAAGATTGGATAGTGGTTATCTTCATTAATTTTTCAAACTAGTGTAGCTGTAATTCAAAAGCAGAAATCACGCCTCTTCACCTTTCCACGCCCCCTTCAGCGTAAGATTCCGTCCTTCGGATCCAATAATTGATTAAAAAATTAGATGTTATCGGTGTTTGCATTCATGTAATCGATAAAGATAAAGGTAACGTTTGAATGAATGACTGTTTTTAAAAATTTGAAATTATATTAAAATATATATTTAAAATAATATATATGTTTTTTATTTTTACAATTAACATATCAAAATAATACAAAAACATAGAAGAATATAAAAAAACATTTCAACAGTATTTTTTCTTTTAGCAAAAACATACACGATCAAAGTCTCCGTGAGAGGACTTTCAACAAATTAGTGGATTATGAGATGGATTTGTAGATGATGCAAGCTGTAAGTACTAAGTAGCGATTAATCCTCGAAATTCGCTAATGGATTTCACGTTAAATCAGATTCACAAATGCGTGGTTGATGCGCTGGACATCTGGTTAAAATATTGGTTACACGAGATCTTAATACAAAATCGCGACTCGATGGTGGGTTTGTTTTTAGAGATAGTTTTTTTAATGTCATTTTAAAAAATAAATTAAAAAAATATTTTAGTTCTTGTTAGTTAAATTTAAATATATATTTAATGAAAATTATAATTAAAGTTGTATAAAAAAACATGTATAAAATATTTAAATAAAATATTTTGTTTTTTTAAAAACAGTAAAAAGAAAACCAGTAAAAAATTATTTATGAAATTCAATTAAAAAAATATAAAAACTACGGCATAAAATTTATATTTTAAACTTAATTTTATAGTGCATTCCACAACTAAGTTTTACATTATACTAAATATGTTATTGTGTTTGTTCACCATTATTGTAAAAATTAACAGAAAATAAACGCAACCTTAATTTAACCGCAACCACTTGAATATATTTGAATATTTACGAAAACAAATATATTAAAGTAGAGCTTAATAAAATATTGAAGCTTGAGAACATGGCAGCTCTTCAAATCCCAGGAATTCTAGAACACAAATGAATTGAGATATTAAATCCCGGCAGATTTCCGGCCCCCGTCTATCTTTGTGTGCGAGTACTTTTCTTCAATTTTATGAAAATATTTAGCTGTGGTGGGAACAGTGGCAGAGGGCGGTGAGGATGGCAGGGGCCTGTTCCTGAAAGACAAAGGAAACGATTAAACTAGTAAAATATTAATTTTAATTCTCTAAAAATATTTTCAGATCATGACCCCTTCTAAAAAAACAAAAAGCTCTGTGTCTCCACCCCTCGATATACACTGATGAAAGGGTATGGCAGATATATTTTATTTTCCTTTCCTTTCTCTTTGTTTAAGCATAAGCCATCGCGATGGTAGTTTTTTCTCACATCCAATCCAGATCCTGGTTGATAATAGAAGAAGCAAATTCACAAAATATTAAATCTATTTCTGTTTGAGGAAAAGAATTTCACACAAAACTTAGTAAATTTGCATTCGAAAAATGTAAAAAAAAAATAAAAAATTAATCTAACAAATAAAAATAAAAATAAAGAGGCGTGTGCAGTAAATAAACAGTTAAATTCCTGCAAGAAAAAGAAACCGAAAACAAATAAGAAACTAAAAACCGCACGCATTAACCGAAACCTTTTGAGTTTTGAGGTGGTAAACAGGGAAGGAAAACAACGTAACTGCCATGAACCAGATGTTACTCACCGGTCGGTCTATTTTTATTATTTCCAATCACTCCAACCGTTTCCGGCTTTCTCGCTAGGAAACTGGGACTTCCCCTTCATAACTGGTCGACTCGGTAAAACCGAGAAGATTATAGTTAAAACCCAAATTCGGCAAATCGCAAACCCTAACCGGTCCGTCCGGTCATCAAAACCATTAAAATCGGTTTATAAAAAAACATTTAAACTCCCTTAACTCGGTCCTCTCTCTAAAAAAAAACACAAGAACTCAACAGTCGAAAACCCAAGTAAGTTTATTATCCTCTCTTGTTATGTTTCATGTCTTTAGTTCTTGCCTTTTTGATGTCACCATCTTTGTCTATGCAAAGGGGGTTTTGTCAGTTTAGATTGTCTCTTTGAATTTAGGAAGATAGAAGGGAAAAGTTCATATTTTTTTTTGAATTTGGGTTTAGAAGGATTTAAGCTTTGGTGGTAATTGATTATTGAGGTTTGTTGAAATGGGCTCTAATTTGGAGCCAATTCCGATAACATCGCAAAAACATGACCCGGCGTGGAAGCATTGTCAAATGTTTAAGAATGGAGAGAGGGTGCAGTTAAAATGTGTGTATTGTGGCAAAATTTTTAAAGGAGGAGGGATTCATAGGATTAAGGAACATTTAGCTGGTCAAAAGGGTAATGCTGCTACTTGTTTACAAGTTCCTTCGGATGTTAGGCTTATGATGCAACAAAGTTTAGATGGGGTTGTAGTTAAGAAGCGGAAGAAGCAAAAAATTGCAGAGGAGATAACGAATTTGAATCCAGTTTCTAGTGAGTTAGGGGTTTTTGATAAGGATGTTAATACTGGAATGGAGTTAACTGGGGTTTCAGATGCTATTGACCCTGTTTCAAGTTTGTTAGTTAGTGGAGAAGATGGACTGAGAAAAAAAGGCGGGGAGAGGAGGAAGAGGGGAAGGGGTAGAGGCAGAGGTTCTGTTACAAATTCGAAAGCTGTTGTTACCATGAGTAGTGTTATGCCGTTATCAGGGGGTAAAAGGACAAACGATCACATTCATATGGCAATAGGGAGGTTTTTGTATGACATCGGGGCATCTTTGGATGCTGTGAACTCGGCTTATTTTCAGCTAATGGTTCAAGCAATTGCTTCAGGAGGATCAGAGGTTTTAGTGCCTTCATACCACGATCTTCGAGGTTGGGTACTGAAGAATTCAGTTGAAGAAGTAAAGAATGATGTTGATAAGCACAGAGCAACCTGGGAAAGGACTGGCTGTTCTGTTTTGGTTGATCAGTGGAACACAGTAATGGGTAGAACTCTGATAAATTTTTTGGTTTATTGTCCTGATGGAGTGGTGTTTTTGAAATCCGTGGATGCATCTGATATTATTAATTTACCAGATGCTCTTTACGAATTGCTTAAGCAAGTAGTTGAAGAAATTGGAGCAAGACATGTTTTACAAGTCATTACTCGAATGGAAGAGCAATTAATCTGTGCAGGGAGAAGGTTAGCTGATACTTTCCCTAACCTTTATTGGGCTCCTTGTGCAGCACATTGTCTAGATTTGATACTTGAGGATTTTGCAAAACTTGAGTGGATAAATTCAGTAATTGAACTGGCGAGGTCTATGACAAGATTTGTATACAATCATAGTGTGGTTTTGAATATGATGAAAAGGTATACTTTTGGAAATGATATTGTAGAACCAGGAATTACTCGCTTTGCCACAAACTTTGGAACATTGAAACGAATGGTTGATCTTAAACATAACCTGCAGAACATGGTTACTTCACAGGAGTGGGTGGACTGCCCATATTCAAAGAAACCTGGGGGGCTGGAAATGTTAGATTTGGTAAGCGATCAGTCATTTTGGTCATCATGCATCCTAATAACCCATTTAACTAATCCTCTCTTGCAAGTTCTGAGACTAGTTGGCAGCAAGAAGAGGCCAGCTATGGGATATATTTATGCAGGAATGTATCGAGCTAAAGAAGCAATTAAGAAAGAACTTATAAAGAGGGAGGAGTATATTGTCTACTGGAATATTATAGACCATTGGTGGGAACAAGAATGGAATCTCCCTCTTCATGCTGCGGGTTTCTACCTTAATCCCAAGTTCTTTTATAGTTTTGAAGGAGATATGCCCAATGAGATTCAGTCTGGGATGTACGATTGCATAGAAAAGTTTGTTCCTGACTTAAATGTCCAAGATAAAATCATCAAAGAGGTAAACTCTTACAAGAATGCTGGTGGTGATTTTGGGAGGAAGATGGCTGTTAGAGCTAGGGACACTATGCTTCCTGGTGAGTCCTTCTACTCCGATGCCATGTTATAGATTAGTTTTTTGATAGTTAGATAACATGCATTTTCAGATCTTTAGTACCTGGGAGCGGAAGCATCCGACTTATAATAAAATTTTGCTCTGGCCACCCTGCATCTACACATATTCATTCTCATTTGGTATATATGATTAGAACATTAGATGCATCATTTTCTATATACAGCAGGACCATTACTAGAACATTGTGTGTATCCTGCGGGAACTGTGAGACCTGTTAGACCAAATTAGTGGTCATCATGCATTGTGGTGGTTCAAATGCCTTCTTGGCATGTAGATGCAGGAATTGCCTTTTATTTTTAATTTTTTTTTCAAAAAATTCTGTGTTGCATGTGGTGTTTTATCCTATTGGAATATGTTAATCTGATTTTTTTCACTGTTTATAGCTGAATGGTGGTCAACATATGGAGGAAGTTGCCCAAACTTGGTGCGTTTGGCCATCCGTATTCTCGGTCAAACCTGCAGTTCAATTGAGTATAAGCGAAGCCAGATTCCTTTTGAACAATTGCATGATACAAAAAATTGCCTGGAGCGTCAACGACTCAGTGATCTAGTTTTTGTTCAGTGCAACTTGCGACTCAGACAAATGTCTGTTTTACTGATGGAAACCTTATACAACTATAGATTTTACTTGAAAATTGGGTAAAAAGAACAGTCTAACTCCTTTCTTAACAATTTTTTTACAGGGTTGATGAGAATGAGGAACAGGATCCTATATCATTTGATAGCAATAATACATTGAAGGACTGGGTCGAGGGAAAAGAATTGTGCTCGGAAGACTTTGATGCATTGAATTGGATGGCAGTTGATCCACCTTCTGACAATGCAAGGCTCCTGGGAACTTCACACAGTGAAATCGAAGACTTAGGTCCAGGTGCTTTCCTAAGTGCAAAATACTACTAAAGAAGCTCTTTCTTCTAGTGTGTTATTGTTGGTTAGAGAAGCTTTCTTTTCATTTAATGCAGTTGTTTTGGTAAATATGCAGGGTTTGATGATTATGAGATTTTTAATAGAGTAAAAGAGGGCGAGGAGGAAAATGTTGAATCAATGTAGCAGGTCAACAGAAAAGCATCCAAGGTACACTGGTCTCACCTGGAGTATTTATGACAATCACTGAGTTGCCTATACTAGAGAGATATTGTGATCATCTAACTTGACTCTGTGATTGAAGTAGACACAATTACCAATGGATTAGGACTTCCATGTGTGTAAAACCAATTACCAGGAAGACTGGTCTTGACCAGGGTGAAAGAGAGAAAAAGATACGATTGGGAATGGTTCTATTAGTAAATGCAGCCAGGTAGTTTTTATGTCAGAGAAAAATGCATTTCAATTGACAGATGAATGGATGTGGTTTTATACATAAGCATGCTCTTGTACATTTAATCCCTTCAACTAACATTCATGTCTTTTTAGTGCTAATTTTTATTCTGCCAATTAAAGTCACTTGGCATTGTAACCAATTGACCAGGGATCAAATCCTTCTTACACAGTTACACTTGGGATTGAACAGGAAAAGGGAGGTTGCCTCCTTTTATGGAACCAAAGGTTCAATTAGTCTTCTGATGAACAAATAAACAAAAAACTTTTCTGCAAAGGTAGGTGTTCAGTTGTGAATAATTTGTCTTTTTCTGCCAAGCATTTCTATTTTGGCAATTGAGTTATACCATATGATGGGATCATTATAGCCCTGATTCATGGTATTGGTTGATAATGGACTTCTGTCTTCAAGATGGATTAGAGTAAACAAAATGGGGAAGAGAAAAAAGTGTATGATAAAAGCACTAGTTATTTATTCAATATTTTCAGAGTCTTATGTTTTAAATCGAATATTACATGTTCTGATTCTTAATCATGGTTGAGATTTGATTTTAGTTGAGGTTCAGATTGTATAACAAATTAAGATGTGCTGAATTTTTGGAGAGTAAGTGGGAACATTTTTTTGTTATTGTTAATACTTCTTTCTTGCACGCAGTTGTAACCTTTGCATTATCATTTATGAACCCATTACAATTAATATTTGCAACCATTGGAACATAAAAGAGGTCAGCTGAAACAGAGAATCCCTAAACTATTGAAGAACTGGAGAGGGTTTGAGGCTGAACTTCCAAGATTAAGGTAAAACATTATGCTACAACGTCCAGCCTTAATTGTCTTCAACATTTAAAGTTACAAGATTTGTTCGAAGAAACAACGTTAGTGCTAGATGATTTATTTTTTATTTTCATTCCATAAGTGATGAAGGGTTTTGACCAGGGTTTTGGTATTTATCAACCTTCGTTTATTATGGAATTAAACCAACTCTGGTTTTAGGAAGGTTTTGAGGAAGAGTAGGAAGAATGTGTGAAAACTACGAGGGTTTCTTTTGTGCTCCTTCGGAGGCTTGACATTTTTGTTCAAATATGATACATCTCAAGATGTAGACTTCTGTGATTCACTCAGAGTAAATGTGATTCTGTGTAAATAGTGGATCTCTGCGATGTCATGTTGAAGAATTTGATGGATGATTGGCATTTTTTATGCTGATTTTACACGTGCAGTTGAAGTAACTTCAACAGTCAAACTTCAACGCAGGGAAAAGACCCCACTAGAATTTCTCCTTTTCTTCCTCTTTCTTTTTCGCTACACTTTGTTCAACCTATTTGCTGTCAGATAGTTGGTTCTTGTTTCACGTGTGGCACTACAATTGACCTTGCTCTAGGAGAGCTTCAATAGGAGCTCGCAAGGTGAAATTCAATCAACTTCCATTTAAGAAATCGTCTCTTATTTCACATGCTTTCCTTAATTTAATCTTCTTCAAAACCAGTGTGCCTTTTTATCTATTTCCTGATATTTTTAGACCAAATCAATGCATCAGCTTCAACTTTCTTGGGTAAATAAGCTGTGTCAATGTGGCCAGCATCTTTGACCGGTGAAAAAGCTTCAACAATGCCTCATTTACTTGCGAATTGCACAGAGAAACAGAACAAGAGGAACTTTTAATCAACAGCTATTGAAGGTGACTTCCATCCTTTCCTTGTTTATTTGTCTTTCTAGTTTTGTATCAGTTGCTATTACAGTGTTTTTAGGGTAACTTTGACTTAGCGATTTTCTTTTGTGGTTACAATGTGATTAATTTATACATCTGAGATAGTGCATTAACGTATTCACTGTGTCCCGTGTTGTAGAAGAAGGTTGAATCCTAAACTTATCTACCCTACACTGTGTCCCGTGTTGTAGAAGGTTGAATCCTAAACTTATCTACCCTCTACAATTTCTCGTGTGTTTGTGCTGTAGAACTCATGTGAAGTCAAAGAACAATGTCGTGTTAAACTCGATTGATCTGTATGGAAGCAACATGGTGCGTGCCATTCACTATCTTGCAAAATCACGTTCATTCAATGTTCAGTACACTAAATCAAAAAACCTTTGACATTGTAGGATGGTAAACTCATTCACTCAAGTTTCCACGTCCTTTTTAGCAGCACATCCTTATCCCACTATAAAATGTCCTGTAACCAGTTGATAGTTGAAGGAACTTTTTGCATATAATAGTGAGATTTTGCAATATTCTTAAGAATAAACTGAACGACCCATCAAAATCTTGCTGTAATTGATGCTCGTGTTCCTTTTCTATTGATGGGGTAAAGAGGTTTTCCTCATGGTAGCAGTAGGGAGCGCTGGCCAACTTCCTAGGAGCCCATTCCCATGGCATTACATATCTCCATGAATGTACTAGATTTAAAAAGATGACATTTGACACTCCGTAATGCTAGCAGTTTTGAATAGATTGTAATATTATTCCGGCGAATTCAGATGATATAATTTAGCAATTAGGATAACTACTTTCTTGCTTGTTGAGAGCGACATATTTAGGAGTAGGGAATACCACAGCCTTAATTTCTTAGCAAATGGCCAGTCCCAGAGTAAAAGTATAGGGAGATAGTCTTTTTATGGGCTCATCAAATTCGTCATGCAATCTTGATCCATTACATCAATACGGCACCACTTTACCATGTCGAGAGAACTGTACATATCATTACAAGAAAAATACAATAAAAATAACGATCCTCGAAAGGAAAATATTACCAAAAAAATAAAAATAGAGGCGAGCGGGGCTATCAGGTTTTTTTTTCCTCTCCCTCACTGTGGCTTCCTGCCTTCATTTCCGCCAAATATCAGTAAGGCCTTCTCCAGGTGACTTTGTACTGACCGCGTCCAAATATGTCAGTCAAAGCAGCAGATGACTGAAAATGACCCTCAAACTCGCTTCTACCATCACCATCGCCATTGTAATTTCTTACATCATATCCATCGAGGGCTTGAACAGCCTCAGACAATGCCATCTCTTCCTCCTAGTGCCTGACAACTTGCCTTGTTGCAGGCAGGCATCGCATTGGGCACCTTGTTAGAAATTAGAACACATTAGCCCCAGTTTCAGCAAACCAACAGCCCGAAGCTTATCAAACTCGCCATTCAATCTTGGCGCACTACGATCCACATCAAGATTCCACCACTTTTCCACTTACCCCAGACCGGTCCACCAAATTGAGCTCCTCAGGCAATGCTGCACTGCTGTAGGCTCAATGACCCCAACACGTCTCCTTCCACAAACTAAAAGAGCAAGCGTGCATCAAAGGCAGACTTATCTTGTTTGCTTTCACGACAGATTCGCTTCATTGCAACTTGAGTATTAGAATTTGGCAGAGTTGCTTTCTAAACCTTACCAGAACCACCAAAGATAAGTAGTTTCTTGTCTTTGAAGCCACTAGTTGCTTTCTTGATAGGAAAATATGTGAGGACCAACTAGAAGCTCTCATGCTTCAATCACATTTACATTCTTAATCTTCCTGATGGATAGCGATAGCTAAGATTATGAAAAAACAGCCGAAAGTAAGACACCTACAATCAATCCTGGGTAATTCTTTTTAGACCCTGAAAGTGAAGAAAGAGAAGATAGAAATACATAGAAAAGACAGGAGAAACCGATCTTTCAGAAAAAAGGCGGTAACCTAACTTCTAATAGATTCTTGATCGAATCGTAACTAACCCATGCTTGATTGGCCTGCCACTAGTCTATGTTGAGATTATCAAGAAAATATTCAGCGGGAACAAATTTGTTTGATTTCAAAATATTGATATTATTGCCGATCATCTTTATGCGTGTCAAATTCATCTGCAAAAATGTGATTGGTTAACCTACTACCATCGGTTCCATTGAAGATACCTAGATACTGCTTTGCAAGAGCACTTGTGAAGCATTATCAGTTAAGCAGAGTATGGCATAATTTTAAACCTCAGCAGCCCCATTTAGGGTCATGCTGTTGCTTACATGCTTGAAGCCTGTGAAGTAGAGGTCATATAGACCAGCTGTGAATAAACAGGATTTGCAACGAAAGGAGAAACAAGAGAAGTGTGAGCTTCATGAATGGGGAGATGAAATAGCGAAAGTTGGCCTGTGTGAAACAGAGGATGCTGTGTTTTGGCTCTCTGTTTTTCCTTTTTCCTGCCAGAATGCTGATCTCTTAGGGTATGATATATGCTACATTTTTCACATGAGATAAAATGAGGATTCAAAATGAAGAACAAATTTAATAATAAAGAGACAGAGAGAGAGAGGTCGCGTTGAATTAACTTCACAAGTGTGGACCCTGGATGCCCGAATGAGCTTCATTGCCTATTAGGACTTTGGGTCGGTGCTTCGTATAAGCTAAGCCTCGAACTTATGACATGGGCAATGCATTGGATTGGGGGTGTAGACCAAGAGCCAATCACATTGAATCATTGAGATTACGAGAGGGATTTATATCAGCAGACAAGATAGGAGAAATCGTTTAGCGGAAGAAAGTGAAAGCCTAATCTCTAATATATTCTTGACTGGATCATAATCAACCCATGCTTTAATGAGGTTACGACTAGTGAGATTCAAATCTTTCTTTTTCTGAATTATCAAGAAAATATTCAGCCGGAACAGATATGTTTGATCTCATGTTGTTGATTTCAACACCAACATGGTTAATCTTTGTGTGTACGAAATTCAAATGCATAAATGTGACTGGAGAAGCTACCACTAACGGTTCTATTGAGGAGTCCCAGATACTGCCTTGGAAAAGCACCTAGCAGCTCTTTTGAAGTAGAGAGAGTGAAAGCAAGGTCATGGCCACCTAGATTCGGATATCTAGTGACCATAGCAAAAACAAAGGGAGTTGAGAAGGGGAATGCTTTTCCATGACTAAAGTTCTTGAACTTGATTGAATGAGTAAAAGGCATGGTCTTTTATGCCTTTAGCACTGTTTGCTAAGCTTGGTAAGCCATTTTTTTCGATCTCAGCAGCGAAATTTACGCTCGTATTTCTTTTTAACATGATTGAATCCTTGGAAGTCGAGATCATCAAGCTGTACAAGAACTCGGTTTTGGTTTGCAAGGAAAAGGAGAAACAAGCGTAAGTGTGATGGAGAGCGGAAGTTTTTGGGTGGACTTTCCGAAAAGGCAGCTGCTGAAGAGGAACTCTGGCTTGGTTTCGCACGGTTCTGAAGAAGGTGATTGTAGGAAGCTTTGCACTACCAATACTGGCCATTGTTGATTTCTATCACCAGTTATGGAAATAAAGGTCGGTCCGGCTTTATTGAGATTTAGGACACCGACCCTTAAATAAAGAAATCAATCTTACCTTAAGGAAGAAATGTCATAGTTGTTAGTAGGGGTGTTAAAAGGAACCGGCTTGTATGTAATATTTGTATGATATAGCATGATGATAACAAGTTAAAAAATCTAATAAATAGATATCACAGGTCGGGTGTGAGTTTAAATTTTTAAAATTCATTCAACTTGTATAATTTAATGTAAATACTCGGATTCTTAGTAAAAATAATTTTTTTCTTATTTTTCTTTTCACTCACAACTTTCTCTCATTCTTCTAATCTCTTTTCATTTTATCTGTTCCTGCTTTCATAGAAATTACAAATGTTTATTTTGAAGTTTAATCCAATAAAAAAATAGTGCATTTTAGAACTTCAATATTTTTTGTTTTATAACTAAGAAACTATAAGAAAACAAATTAAAATTTCAAAAATCTAGATTAAACTTTTATTTTCCTAGTTAAATCAAAAATACTTTATAGCCTTTTCTTACTAGTTTATTTTTATATTATATCTTATCATAACTGTTTGATAAAATACAACTGTAATTTTATATTTGTTTTGTTTTTATATAAAAAATAAGATGATTTTTTTGTTGTTCCAAATATATATATATATATATATATATATATATATATATATATTTTAGAAACTTTATCTAGTTCTGCAATTGCAATCCAATATTCTTTTTTGAATTGTTGAAGAATAAGAAAATTAATATATTTAACTAGTAATACTTTTAATATTCATAAAAATTATTGCTCAACTCGATGTATCCAACTGATTTGGGTTCTAAAAAATAAATAAGTCGAGTTTATATTTTGTATAAAATTAAAAATTAAGTTGGATATAAATATAGATTAAAACCCATTCTACTTTTCAGTATACAAAAATTAAAAATTCACAAATAGAATTTGAACTTAAAAAACCTTCCTAATTCCCAAGTCAAATTTCAGTGGCGTATGTTAAACATTGTGGGGTATTCAAATTATTATTTTTATGCCTTTTTTTTTCTTCCAATTAATTGTCCACTGCTATCTTTTCTAAGAAAAAAAAGTCTACCGCTAACTTATTCCTTAAAACAGTACGGCCCAATGGAATAAGATTAGACTTAAAATCATAATCAATAACATAATAATTATAGGGTTGAAAATGAGAACAATAGGGACATCAAACTTTGATCATTCATAGCAAAGTATTCCTAAAATTACTCGAATGCAACAATAAATGGCTCGGAATAAAAAACCGACGGGCAATTAAAGCTTTTGGGAATAACGTTGAGTTTGACAACATGTTTTTACTTTATAACATCCAATCCAATTTAAAAACCATCAAGTAATAAATTAAAGAGTGTTGATGATTTACTATTTATTTATATTCAATGCATTATAAATTATTGTTATAATTTTTTTTTCAACTTTTTTTTTGTTTATTTTTTAAAAAATTATCTTTGTTAATTTTATTTTTTTAATATTAAGTTGGTTAAAAATTTTATTTTGTAATTTTTTTTAAATAATGTGAATTACTATGGTGTTTTTAATATTATTTATTATTTTTTAAAATTATTTATTATTTTATTTTTTAATATTGAGGTGATTGAGAATTTAATTTTGATATTTTTTAAAAAATATTGTTGATTGCTATAATGTTTCTCAGCATGGTTTTTTATGATTTTCTCTTAAATTATCTTTTTTAATTTTATTTTTTAATATTAAACTGGTTAAAAATTACAATTACAATTACAGTATAAGAAAAGTACATAATTTTCCTTTTAAATTACTGTGAATTGCCACAGTGTTTTTTCTTATATGGTTTTTTTTAGTTTTTTGTGTTTTTTTTGTAATATTTTTTTCTAAAATTATCTTTGTTAATTTTATTTTTTTAATATTAAGCTGATTAAAATTTAATTTTGTAATAAAACTTAATCATATAAAGAAAGCATTATAATTTTCCTTACA